CTATTAAATATGACAAGGGTTTCAACAACGTAAACAATAAATATTATCATCATGTACATAAAAGAACACACAGACGGATTGATTTTTTTTTTATTAAAAAAAAAAAACCATCAATATTATTATTATCTGTTATCATTATTATTATTATTCTTGCAGACAAAGAGGTATTTATAAATTTACTATTTAAATTTTTCATTCTTTATTCTTAAAATTGTTGCTTTTACCTATCTTTTATCAATTAATTGTGTAATAATACTTTATCTTCATTACATTCATACTTCCATCCATCCATCCATCCATCCATCTAGGTGTATGAATCTCCGGCTTATTATCATCAATAAAAATATATTCTTTAAAAGATAAAAAAACCCAACTCATTATTTATAAAACCAACAATACACCACCATCCACCCATCCACCCATCCATCCATTCATTCATTCATTGTTTTCGAGGCCCGGTGCTTAAACAATTTTCTTTTAAAATTTTTTAAAAAAAAAACAGAACAAAGTCGGAGGTTCAACATCTAACACATTCATTCTCTCTTTCTGAATAACATAATAACCAACACGTACACACACATACATATATGATATAAAAATAAGAATAAGAATATATAAAAAATGGCAGATTACGTTCTCACAATTGCTTCGTTTATGGCAGTCATTTTATGTATAATACCTGGTATATTTCACATACAAAATAAAAATTGGGGAGCAATATTTATGTCATTTTGGGTATCACTCATAAACCTCATAATTTTCATTAATTCGATACTTTGGGCCAATGATTTGGAAGACAAAGCACCCGCCTATTGTTATATAACAGCACCACTTGTTAATGCAGCACATTTCGGTATATTAGCTTCTGCTGGATGCATGATACACACTTTGCATAATTATGTAGTGAAACCAACATTATTAACAGAACGTGTTAGAAGGAATCAAACCTGCATAGATTTTGTTTTATCAATCATAGTACCTTTTATTCTTACTGGACTGACATATTTAAATGCTCAGTATGTATATGGGATCAGACCTGTTTTAGGTTGTTTTATACAAGCGAGCCAGACTTGGGTTTATATTATTGTAGATGGAATGTGGCCTGTACTAATATCTGGTATAGGATGTTATTTTGCAGGTTTGTAATGTTTAATGAATTATATTACATATTACATAATAACAATAATAATATTATTAATAATTAATATTAATTAATATAAAATTTTCTGTTGTTATATTTAGCACGAACTGCTTATACCATCATAAGCAAAGGATTAGAAATTCAAAGTTTATTAAAGTATACCAAATCTGGTTTAAATACAACAAAGTTTTATCGATTGGTGTTGTTCTGCATAAGTTTCTTGATCTTTGCATTTCCAACAGCTTGTTTAACATTTTTCTCGAACGTTACACTTAAACCATATGATTTTAATGAAGTGCATGGAGATTTTAATGAGCCGCAAACATTTAATAACGGAGTAACGTTTGTTGATTATGTTAAACCATTGACAGGATTATTTGTGTTTGTATTCTTTGGCACTGGACATGATGCAAAACAAGCTTATTTAAGATGGGCCAAAACAATGAAATTGGATTTATGTTATGGATACTGTTTAAAACTCAAAAAATCAAATAACAAAATATCCAGTAATGCTACTACTAATGCTGCTGCTACTACCACAATAGGAAGTTTGTAAGTATATATATATATATATATATGGCATCGCCATCGTCATCGTCATTATTATAATTATTAATTATAATTATTAATTTTAATTAAAAAAAAATAGCCAAACAATGCCAAATAACTCGCAGTCAACAAACCCAAGAAACCCAGGAACTCCACCAATGACAAATATAAATAACAGAAATAAACTTTCACCACCTACTAAGAAAAGCAATTTCTTTTCAGGACATCGTACACCAACTGAACAAGCACAATTTGATCTTACTAGTGGCATAAGAATCAGAATCGATGGATTGGATACAAGAACAATTGCAAATGAAGAAGATTTAGAAAAAAATGACAAGTCTCTTCTTTTAAAACCAGCCCCGGCCTATTTCAAGCCAATTCATAAAACATCATTAGATGATGATGGTGATGATGATAGTAGTAGACTTGGATCAGATATGATAAATATAACAATCCATAATGATTATAATAATTCGTCATCATCATCGTCGTCGTCGTCGTCGTCGTCGTCATCATCATCTACAACACTTAATAATACACCTTTACCAACACCACCACCAGCAATAATATCAAATTTTGTTTATGATGGAGATAGTTTTGGAATTGTAAGTCATATTGATGCTTTATTATCAGTTTATCCTGAAGACGAGGATCTACCAATTGTGCAAATTGTTCCACCAACACCTGCTTTTAATGAACGATACAGCAATAATAGCAATAATAATAATAATAATGATAATAATAATAATAGTAATCGAATCGAAAGTTTCATAGATAACAATAATAATAATATCAATTATTATTATCTATAATTATGAGCAAACTGGGGTTGCTTTATAAAATAAAATAGATGATGATAATAGATTTATTTTTTCTTATGTTTTAGATTTTTTTTTTTTTTTCATTTTTGCATTTTTTCATTTTTTCATTCAATTCATTCATTCATTCATTCATTCATCCAATTCATTCATTCATTCATTCATTCATTCATACACACATACATACACATACATACATACACACACACATTCATTCTTCAAAAAGAATATTTCATTGCATTTTTCTTTCTTTGTATATACATAAAAAAAATTCTTTATTTACTGATTTATTTATATTTAGAGAATAAATAGATCTCTTTATGAATGTATAAAACAATAAAAATAAAAATAAAAATAAAAATAAAAAATGATACTCATCTATATATTAATATATACATTATATCCATCCATGTAATTTATTATTGTTGTATTTTTGTATTTTTACGCGTTTTTATATAATACGTGTTTGCATAGAATATTATCCTCAAATAAAATAATGAGAGAAATAATACTTTTTTTACCCCCAAAATAGCCAACAACAAAAAAAAGGAGGTGAAATGGAAGAAGGCAATAATTGTTATCATGTGATGTATTCTTTATATATTGGGAAATATGTAACTGAAATAAGCAACGAGCGAGTCAATTGGCGTTTCTTTGATAAACAAAGAAAAGAAAAATAATAATATTATTATTTATTACATAACAAATAGCCAGATAGAATTAATTAAGATTGGTTCGTTTTGTGTTTTGTGTTTTGTGTTTTTTTTTTTTTTTTTTGATTCTTGAGACAAAATTCTATTTGTACATGAATAAACTTAAGGAGGAGGGATTGATTAATGAGCGAGTGGGCGAGTGAGTGGGAAAAGTTGAAAAGAGTAGAAGGCGAAGTCGGTAAAGTAAATCAAGCAGACAAAAAAAAAGAAATTAAAATTAAAATTAAAAATAGATTTAGAATTTCATATGATTTATAATAAAAAAACATAACAATGAACAAAGATTTATGTAATTAGAAAATCCAATTCGTGATTTTCTGTCCCCCTCCTAATCAAAACATGTCGTCATAACCTTATTTTTTTATATGACAAATACACAGATAATTAATTAATTATCAATTGATGGAATTTCTTCCCTTTAATTAATTTTTAGTTTGTGTTATTTCATTCACACATATCCCAAACATTCTTCGCTCGTTCTAGTAGGAATGAATTAGCGACCATTCCAACAATGAATACTTACTCTTAAATATTGTGCGTATGCAAAATCAATAATAGATCATTAATTAAAATTACACTTGATAATCCTTCCACAGCTCGTTCGTTCGCTCACTCACTCGCTCACTCACTCACTCACTCACTTAGCTATTCGTTTTCGGCTATTATCAAGAAATCTATTTCACATGGAAATAAAATAAGGAAAATCAACATTTTTGGTTTTTCACACATTTATTATTTATTATTTATTATCTGTCAATTTATTTCAAACAATAACAAAAAAACAACAATAACAAAACAACAATATTAAAGATTATTGAATCTTGTGCTCTTTATTTTCAATTGACTGATTATTTGGTTTCTTACACATGTGTCTGTCTTAACGGACAACAACAACATATGACATCGTGGATGGATGGATGGATGGATTACGAATCGATTGATTGATTAATCGATCAGCTGATTGATTGATTACGCTTCGTAATGTTTTATTTGTTGTTTATTATTTATTATTTATTTGTCAAGGAGGAGGAAGAAGAGCATTCAATTTCTAAATTTAGAATCAAAGTTAATAAATTTTTGTGCAAAAGGACAAAAAGGAAGAAAAGATAAATAATTGGTTTCATAAAGAAAAGGTCACCCTCCTATTTGTTTATCTGTGCTCATAAAGCGCAGAAACAAATAAAATCGATCAAATGTATAATAGAGTTTGAAATTGAGAGTTTAAAGTTGACTTTTTTTGTACGACGGGTGACGACGGGTATGCTCATTGGTTTGTTTGTTTGTTATTTATAAATAAATAAATTTGATTGATTGATTATTATTGGAATTTTCTAGAGCATGAAAAAAAGGAGGGAAAAGTTTGTTTGTTTCCTTTGGTATATTTCTATTATATTTTATTGGTTTTTTGTTTACACAAATATTTATTCCTTCCATTTCAAAAATTAAAATTTTTTGTTTTTAAAGTTTTTTATTTCTTTGTTTTGTAAGATTTTTCCGGTAAAAAAGTTGGTATTTTGATTGTTGTTGTTTAAATAGTTAGTTTGGCCATACATATATGATTTATTTTGTATTATGTTTGGTATATTTGTTTATTTATTTCTCCGATTATATTATTTGAGCTTGTATCAAACATTAACAATAACAATTTCATATAAAAACACCAAGTTCTTTTTTTTGTTTTTTTTTGTTTTTTTTTTTTAATTCCTCTTTGATTTTGATTCTTTTCTTTGAAAAAAAAATAAAAAATAAATATAAAGAATAATTAACTAATCGATGATGGACGAAGACGCAAGAAAGAAATATTGTCATCTTTTGATGTTTGACGTTGTTGAAGAAGAAAAAGATCAGAGAAAAAAGAATTCATCATCTTTTGATTTGCCAATTGAAAATTCTTTTTTGATTTATAATAATAATCATCACCATCATGCAAATGATGGTGAAAATATTCAACAAATTAACATTAGTTTAATCGATCCAATTATTTTAAATCCATCATCATCATCATCATCATCATCCACCTCCTCCGCCGCCGCCGCCTCATCTTTAATTAAGACCCCCAATAATATAATCTTTAACTTAAATTCCGCAACCTTTAATTCAAATACCAATAATGTTAATAATGCTATACAAGATTCGTCATCATTGTCACCAACAAAATTATTAAAATCAAAACGTAAAAAACGATCAAATAAACCAAAAAGAACTCCACGTCCACCAAATGCCTTTATACTTTATCGCAGAGAAAAGCAATCCGAAGTGACTGCGAAAAATGACAAATTAACTAATGCCGATGTCTCAAAAGTTATTTCAAAAATGTGGTGGAAAGAATCCGAACAAGAAAGGTTTAGATGGGAAAAAACTGCCGATCATATGAAATTACTTCATATGCAAGAATATCCAGATTATGTTTATAAGCCAAAAAAATCTATTAACAAAAAACGTAAAAAAATCATTCACCAAAAAATCAACAACAACGGTTTTGATGATGATGATAATAATAATAACAACAATAATAACAATCATATTTCTTCTTCTTCTTCTTCTTCTTCTTATGTAACTGATGAATTAATTACCGCAATAGCTGAATCTACTTTTGCTGACAGTAAAATTTCTTTAAACAACAATAACAACAACAATATCATTAATCTTCCTCATTCTCCTCCTCTTTTAACATCGACTGAACATTCTCCCTCACTTCACTCTTTATCAAATCATTCATCTCCGATTTCTTCTCATCAATTAAATTTATTTTCTATCGATAATTCTTCTCCTATTACATCCCAATTTATTTCTACTTCTTCCGCTCCCGTCTCTTCTAATTTATTATTTTCTTATAATATCAATTCTGGTTGTTATTTAAATTCCAATGGAAATTTATTATCAAAATCTTTAAACCTTTTAAATTCCAACAACAACAACAACAGCAGCAGCAGCAGCAGCAGCAACAACAACAACAACAACAACAACAACAACGTGTTTAATCATAATATTCAAAATCAACAACGTATTGACACTTTTTTAGATCCTCAACCAGTTGATAAATTTAACTATTTTTTAAATCATTCAAATTTATTTACAACAACAAACATAATCAATAATAATAATGACGACAACGATGATGACGATGATGACGACGACGATGACGATGACAATGATAAAGTAGTTGATGCTAATCACGACGAAGTTGTTGATGATAAGTTTGATGCTAAATATAAACTTATGGACGATATATTATTCAACGATTCTTCTGTAAATGAAATATCAAATTATTTTGATTCTCCTAATTATAATTTACAAGAGTTTTCTAGAAAAAACAGTGTAGTAAGCATATAACTGATTAATTAATTAATTCGTAATTTTCTTTTCTTTTTTTTTTTTTTTATTGTTTTTTAGTTTAGTTTTTTTTTTATTATTATGATTATATAGCTTTTATTATTTTTTTTTGTGTATATAAATCAATTTCCCAATAAATAATTTTTCGTTAACAGGTCAATTTTTCCCAAGTTTGTAGTACACAATTAAAGTTCAATCAATCAGTCATGATTGGTTTGAAATTTCTGGATCCAGTTATAGCAGTTTGGAAAAAGTTGTTATCAATTGTAAAATATTAAATAACAGAAATCACTTTAAAGATATTTGAAACGGAAATGCGGTTTTGTAGGGTCAGTCAGTAAATATATATGTTTTCGTAATATAAAATAAAAAAACTCCTCCGTATTACCATTACTGTCTTCAATATACTTTGTTTCATTAAAAATTTTTTGTTGAATGGAATTATTGATATAATAATAACTAGTATTAAAGCGTTATAAAACCATTTTTTGTGTGCCTCTCTAGAACTTATTAACCAAGATCTACGAAGCATGAAAAGCAAGTTTTGTAAAATATACTTGATGAATGTTTTATCAATTATTTAATAGTTGTACGGTGAGCGTGTTTGATGCTTGTTTGATGTAAAAATGAAAAACCTCATATTAAGTATTTAATAGATTTTTTAAAATTCAAAATTCAAAAAACCTATTACTATATATTTTTGGATGGATCTTAGATTCAAAAGAAACCTGAATTCTATCATGTATTATCGTATTCAAAAATTATTTATAGTTAACACGTAATAATGTTATTTAATATATTGTTTTTAAATCACAATTCGTTGATGCTTTTGTCGAAATCTCAAGCATGGTCGAATATAAAATATTTGAAATTTCAAAAATATTCACTGAAAAGCTATCTATACACACACTCACCTACCATAAATATCCGACCACCTGATGATCATTTTAATAATTGGGAACTTATACCTCACGCAGTTCAAAATTTTATTAACCAAACCGGGACTGGTGCATCAAGTAAACCATGTTTTTTAAATATTTGAATATAAACCTAAAGTCTCGTCGAGTTTGCATTATTAATGAATTTAGGATGAAAATTTTAAATTAGACAAAAAATTTCGTGATTTTTATGAAAACTTTGAGCTTAGCAAAAAAATTCAAAATTCTGTTGAATCATGGATTATGTCATTAAGTAAGTCCACTTAAAATTTGCATTTTGTCAACTTTATCAAGTGTTTTATATGATGCAAGTCACTTAGTCCCACAACTTTTTATTGGTTGTGTAGATTTTCAAATTCTCCAAAAAAGGAAATGCAGCACCCCAAAATAAATCGTGTATTTGAAGCCTCTACAAAATCACGATTTCATCTCATTGATATGTCATGTTGTTGTGGAGAATTTGAGCTTCAAAGTTGCACAAGTTTACTGAATTTACTATGTTTAGCCTAAAATGACGTGTTGCACACAAAAAAGTTAATATCAAAAATAGACGAATTGAAACAAAATAAAAATTTGAAAAAAATTTCCCTTGTATTGCAGATCTTTTGTCACGTGAATTTTCCAGATGAACGGGAAGAGAATTGTCTTTATTATTAAAAAACATACAAAGAACAGCCAAGTTCATTTATTTTAAATCTAATAAATAAACTATTGCATTAATCAAAGAAATATGCAATTTGCAAAATATTCTAATGAATGTTTATCAATTATTTAATAGTTTGTGTAGGAGTAATCAAAATAAGCTTTAAGGACAAGCAAGATCTATGAACAAAATATACTAGCAAAGGTTTTATCAATCATTCAATAGTTATATAAATTTCTCTTTTATTTTAACTAATATTTAACAACATCACTATAATTATTATTGTTGTTTATTGTTCTAATCATCATTTACACATGTATATATAGGAATAAATGTAAAAGAAAAATTTTAATATATTTAACAATTTTCAAAAATCATGTGACTGTAAAATTTTTATTGCATTACGTTGAGCACATTTTTATTAATGAAATAATATACATTACAACAAAGAAATTTCACCTTTTATTACATGTAAAGATTCTGATTGAAGATTTGCTTTTTTGGACTATTTGCTAAATGTTTCCATTAATAACACACCAAACCTTTCGAAGCTTTTGTAATTTGGAGATTTTGATATCAAGTACAAATCTACTTAGTAAAGTAAGAAAGGTTTTATTTAAGAAAACATTGCTTTTTTAGTAAGGACTCTTTTCATTTGACGGTACACAATTCAGGTGGTCGGATATTTATGGTAGGTGAGTGTACAGTCAAACCTCGTCACAGCGGATTGATGGGACCAGCCAAAAAAAATCCGTTGTGACAAAAAATCCGCTATGGTGATGATCGTGACTGACAAAAATTTTTTTTAATAATAATAATAATAATAACGATTACAATAGTAATTAATGATAAACTAAAAACACATTAAATTTTTGTTCACTCATAAATTGGATTTTAAAAAACCATTCAATTCAGTTTTAAAAAGGGAGTCAATCCATAAAAAAAATTTTGTCTCAAAATTTTTTTTCATGGATTTTTAATTTGAGAGTTATGCTCAGAACTGCAATAATAATTTTTGTGTTACAATATTTTTGCATTATATGATCAAATTTGAGACAAGCAGAAAAGTAATATGGTTGTACTGCTTCCATGTGATCAGAGAAAAACAAAAAATTTTATTATTATTTCTGCAATTATTATTAAAGTCCCAAAGCCCCAATTGTTCATCATGAAAAAGCTAACTTTTGAAATAATTAAATTAAAAAAAAAGTATATCAAATAATTTATTAGTCTTGCACAAGGTTAATTAATTAATGGCAGATAGAAATCAATTCATTTTATTGAAAAAAAACTTTATCATTGTAATAAAAATACCTGAATAATGGTTTTTTTTCCAAGTCAAGAATCCAAGGTTTCAACGATTTCTCTAAATCATCATAACCATCCTTGAAAAATTTTTTAGTGATTTCCTCTCTATAATCTTCTACATTTGTTTTATTCATTAATTTGGATAAAGTTAATGTATCGCATTTATGAGCTAATTCAGCAAGTGTCATTTGAGGGTTGTTTTTAAAAATAGTAGTTGAAGCAATTAAATTATGAATAGGGCCTCCTAAACAACTGGATATTTTTTTAGATCTTGTATATTAATATTAAAATTATTATTATTTAGTAAACTTTGCTACTACTACTGCTGTTGTCACCAATTGCAATATTATTATTATTATTATTATTATTATTATTATTATTAATTTTACTGCTTTTATTTCCAAGATTCTTAATGATGGGTGGTAGAGGTTTTAAGCTAAATTTATCACATTTCTTTTGCCATTTTTGTTCTTTTTTATTTACTGAAATACTTGGCATCGTTATTGTTGAATTGTTACCAACTCCCACCAGATCAAAACTATATGGCATTAAAGGCTTCTCCACAGGAATTTTTCTGTTGACTTGTATGAATTATTATTAATGGTATTAATTCCCAGATCAAAACTATATGGCATTAAAGATTTCTCCATAGAAATTTTCTCTATTGATTTATATGAATTAATTCCCAGATCAAAACTATATGACATTAAAGGTTTCTCCACATAAATTTTCTCTTTTACTTGATTATTATTTAAGTTTACATCAAATGACCATTTAATTTCTGTTGGGTTGTTAATATTATTGTTATCATTATGATTAAAAACAACCTCATCTACACTGCTAATTTCACCTTCCTCACAAAGCTCATCAGTAGTAGTAGATTTATCTTAGACCTGGTAAAGTGTGAAAAAGTCTTAGATTTGGATAACAATACATCAGCCACATAAACAAGCATGTTTAACGAACCTTTTCTAAAAAATAAAATATGTATATATTGTACATCAGAAAATTAAAAATACTGTAGATTTATACAAGTTTACATAGCGATGATCGTAATCACCATTCTTTTAATAAACTAGAGTGGCGAGTGGTGGCGATAACCACCACCATTCTTTTTAAATAAATGACACTTACCTCTTCTTCACACCGTATCTCTTTTTTCTGTATTTTTTTTGTGGTGATATTTTTTAAAAAATAAAAGAAAAAAATTGTTGTTTGATCGACGTGTAACCTAATTATTAAACTAATTATTACTCGCTTGTATGGTTGTACGAAGATTGTTGGCGCAATTGTTTTTTTTTGGAAAAACATTTATTTATCTTTTACAAGACGAGAAGCGTGAACGTTGTTGCTTGGCATGGCTTGTTCTGAAGGAGACACGTTGTTTATTGATGGCGAGAGGTACACTATTTTCTGTTGCACTGTATTGATTTTTTTTTTATTTCTTGTTTTTTTTATTGCAAAATCAAACTGTTGATTCTTATTGGTATTGTTTTGCTTTTCGTAATCATCACTAATATTAACATTGAATAATAAGATGACAAGGCGATACAACTGTTGCAGATGAGGAAGGAAGGGAAACAATTCAATTGGATCATTGGACACTTTATAGACATAGAGGCACAAATGCTACTCTGAGCACATTACAGTCATTCACTCATGTTCCTCATGACACAAGGCTAATCTGACTCGCGCCTGATGATACAATGATGCAATTAAATTTCCAGGGAGGAGAAAAGATGCCCTGAAGTTTATTGAGATTGCATCAACGTCAAGGATGCTTATGCAAACTCTACCTAATCTTTTCTCACAGCACCTGACCAGAGAAGGCTGCTGAGCAACCTCAACAAAACGGCAACCCAAGTTGTGACCTCCCACCTAAGTTGCAGAATTTCATACCAGTTGCAGGCACCAACTTTATTCATAGGAGTGGCAATAATATAATGCAATCATTGCACAGCATCAATTCTTGTCAACAATCAATGCATATATTGTAACAGCCAAGCTTTGGTCTGAGGAAAAGATCAGGGAAATTTTTGCCCACCTTACAAAGCCTTCCAATATGTTCAAATCTCTTTCACCTGTGGAAGAAAACTCCATGGTGCTGAATTGATGCTTTGCACGGAGTTTTGCATGTTTGTGATAGGAAAGTTTTTATTAAATCTGACACCCATCATCAGATTTATTATTCATAAGGAATTATATAATTGGAAAAAAGAATAAATTTTTTTTTCAGATCCTCTATTCATTTATTTTTGTGAATCTCAGAGATTCTGAATAGACACACACATTATTGTGAAAAAATGGGTTCCTTAAAAAGTTTCACTTCTGCATGGTCCTAGTATTATCATTATGTGAGTGATGTAATTTATCAATTTAACTTATTTATGAAATATTATGAATATTGTGATAAACATGTACACATCAGCAGTGACAAAGGTGTATTGTTTGTGTTCAAGGAAAGGATTAAAAAATTAAGTTTATATTTTTATCCAACTAAAATATAGAAAAATACATAATTATTTAAAGACATATTAAGTTGTTGTTAATGAAAATAAAATGTTGCAAACATTCATCAATTTTTGCCTTTTTGATATTTTGTTCTTTGAATGATTCTCTCTCATCTCAATTTTAAAAAACCTACAAAGTGAACATAAATTATATATATAGGGATATATGTATATGAAAAATAATAATAAGTATAATGGTTCTAATGAGCAATTGATTTTTTAGAAAAGGTTGTAATTGTGATTGTTCTTCAATAATACCCAAAGAACAATTGGCAGAATTGAGGGAATCCTTTCAAGCTCTTTCCAAGTCTGAACAAGACACATTTTTAATGGCACAGATTAAAGCAATGAATGGTGGATCAATAAGCACTAGCTTTTTCTAAAAATTCAGTTGAACTTAATTTAGTGTATCTCTCATAGCTAAACAGTATGCTAACTACCTTTTTACTTTTTCTATCGTCAACAGTTAATTAATTGTTTTCAAATTTTTTAATTTTCCTGCTTCAAATTATTCGTACGATTTGAACTTGCAATAGTAATAGTCTAACTGGTGGCAGCAACAGCGATAGAATAATTAGCTATATGAGGATTTGGATCTTCCTGATTTGGTGTAACAAGGCGGCAGTAATTTTTTTTTGCATTAATGTTAATAATGTCGCAAACGCAAACAGAAGGTAAATTATAAGTGTAAATTATATTATTAACATTCTTTTAATAAACTTGATCCAATATTTGTATATATTATTTCGTCATTGATATTGTTAGCACAGTTTAATTTTCCAAGGGAAGAAGAAAAAATTCTTAATTTTTGGAAAGAAATAGATGCATTCAGAACACAAATTAAATTATCAGAAGGAAACCCACCCTTTTCCTTTTATGATGGACCTCCTTTTGCTACCGGTCTACCACATTATGGTCATTTACTAGCAGGTACCATTAAGGTATTAAAAATTTTGAAGAAATGCACGAAAAAATAATATTTTAATTCCTTACATATTTATTAATAAATATATTGACTTTATAATTAGGATATTGTGACTCGTTATGCAACTCAAACAGGATATTATGTTGAACGTAGGTTTGGTTGGGATTGTCATGGTCTTCCAATTGAATATGAAATTGATAAAAAATTAAATATCAAGGTATATATGTATGTGCGTTATTTGAAAAGAATTATTATTTCTTAAAGTTATTTATTTTAATCTTAAATATATATTTAAAGAGTAAAGATGACGTGTTGGCAATGGGAATTGATAAATATAATGAAGAATGTCGTAGTATAGTTATGAGATATTCAGGAGCTTGGCAAACAACTGTTGAAAGAATTGGTCGTTGGATTGATTTTGATAATGACTATAAGACTTTAAATACTAACTTTATGGAAAGTGTCTGGTGGGTTTTTAAACAACTATATGATAGAGACCAAGTATATCGTGGAGTGAAAATTATGCCATATTCCACAGGCTGTACCACGCCACTTTCAAATTTTGAAGCTGCTCAAAATTATAAAGATGTTAATGATCCTTCTAGTAAGTAATAAATTTTAATATGATATAATAAATATTTATATAAATAAATATCAATTGACTATTTCTATTATTACTATGATAAAATATATTAGTTGTTGTTTCATTTCCTTTACTTGATGATCCTAATACCAGTTTACTAGCATGGACAACTACTCCATGGACTTTACCTAGTAACTTGGCTTTGTGTACAAATCCTGATTTTGAATATATAAAAATAAAAGATGAGGGATCTGGTCACATATATATATTACTGGAAAAATGTTTAAATATTTTGTATAAAGATGTGAAAAAAGCAAAATATGAAGTTTTAGGCAAATTTTTAGGAAAGGATATGAAAGGTTGGGAATACAAACCATTATTTGATTATTACGTTTCTAAAGTAAGATTTATTTTATTTTTTATTTTTATTTTTCATTTTTCATTTTTCAAAAATAAATTAGAATGATACTAATTTAAGACTGTTATTATTAATACTTTCATTAAAAGTTCAAGGGCAAAGGATATATAGTGGTTAATGACAATTATGTTACTGATGATAGTGGTACTGGTATTGTTCATCAATCACCAGCTTTTGGTGAAGATGATTATCGTATATGTCTTGCAAATAATATTATTATTGAGGATGGATTTCTCCCATGTCCAGTTGATGAGCAAGGGTTATTTACAGATGAAGTAAAAGAATTTTCTGGAATATATGTAAAGGTGAATTTCTTAATAATTCAAAATTATATTTTTCCTATTTGTAAATCCCCAAAAAATTATGTTTAAATTATTATCTACTTATTTATTTATTTATTTAGGAGGCTGATAAAGCTATTCAAAAACATTTGAAACAACAAAATAGATTGATTAATCAATCTCAATATAATCATAGTTATCCTTTTTGTTGGCGGTGAGTTAACAATAATCCACATTGTTTTAAAATTTTAAACATATTATAATACTGCTTTAACAACATTGGTGGTATCTGATAGATTGGTAATCTTTATACGCCTTCACATACTTGTAGTTCAGATACACCTTTAATTTATAAAGCAGTTCCCTCCTGGTTTGTGCGTGTAAAACCAATTATTGACAAATTATTAAAAAATAATCAAGAAAGTTATTGGTGGGCATTTTCATTTTCTCAAATAATGATTTTTTTAAAAAAATAATATTTAACTAATTGTATTTATTATTATTATTACTGTTATCAGGGTTCCTGACTTTGTTAAAGAAAAAAGATTTGCTAACTGGATTGTCAATGCACGTGATTGGAATGTTTCACGTAATCGGTATTGGGGTACTCCTATTCCACTTTGGGTCAGTGAAGATTATGAAGAGGTGAGAATAAAATTATTTTTATTATTTGATAAAATGAAAATGAACATTTCATTCCTACCCAAAATATTTACAATAAAAAACTTGTGTATATAGATTGTATGTGTTGGTTCATTAAAAGAGTTACAAGAATTGTCAGGATGTGATGAATTGACAGATATCCATCGTGATAAAATTGATCATATTACAATTCCTTCAAAGAAAGGTAAAGGTGTTTTAAGAAGAACTGAGGAAGTATTTGACTGTTGGTTTGAATCTGGAAGGTTAGTTGTATATTATTATTATTTATTAATAATAAAACTATTTAATAAACCTTTTTGATTATGTTTAAATATTTATGTAGTATGCCTTATGCTCAATGTCATTATCCGTTTGAAAACAAGGAAAAATTTGAAGCATCTTTTCCTGCAGATTTTATTGCTGAAGGTCTTGATCAGACTCGTGGTTGGTTTTACACATTAATGGTTTTATCAACTCATTTATTTGATAAACCTGCATTCAAAAATTTGATAGTTAATGGATTGGTATTAGCAGTGTAAGATTATTTATTTATTTATAAATTAATAATTGCATTAATCTAAATACATAAATTTGCAAATATTTAGTGATGGTAAGAAGATGAGCAAACGTTTACAAAATTATCCAGAACCAACTGTTATTATTAACTCATATGGTGCAGATGCACTTAGGTAATTAATTTATACACTAAGTTTGATGACTGTGATAATAATAATAACAATGATGAATTTTCATGCATCTTTATATATAAATGTGAAAGGTTATATCTCATCAATTCACCAGTTGTTCGAGCAGAACCTTTGAAATTTAAAGAAGATGGTATTAAAGAAGTTATATCCAAAGTATTTTTACCTTGGTATAATGCTTATAGATTTTTCACATCACAAGTAGTTTTATTGAAAAGAGTAATTAACATTTTATTACCAGTTGATAATTTTCATTATTTGATTTAGTGTATTTTATAAAGAAAAATTTTTTCTTTTTGAATTTACTTTTAGGATACAAATGGGGATTTTAAATATAATCCAAATTTAAAAAAATCAGTCAATGTTATGGATAGATGGATATTAGCAAGCTCACAAAGTCTTATTAAATATGTTCGTGAAGAGATGAAAGGTAAATCAAAAAAAAATTTATTTATTTTGAAAAAATTTTTAATTAAAAAATTTTTAATCTAAAGAATTTTTATCAAGCATATCGATTGTATACAGTGGTACCAAAATTGTTAAATCTTATTGAACAATTAACCAACTGGTATGTCAGATTTAATCGTAAACGTCTAAAGGGTGAAATTAGCCCTGAAGATACTATTGATGCATTAAATACACTTTTTGAAGTTTTGTTCACATTATGTAAAGCTATGGTATGTTAATTAATCCTTTATAATTATTTTGCTTTAATAATAATAGTATAATAATTAATATATGTATGTATGTGAAAATAGGCATCATTTACACCTTTCCTTACTGAATATATGTATCAAAATTTGAAGATATTCCTTCCTGAAACTGACTTGAATAATGATAATAGATCCATTCATTTCTTAACTTTTCCAGAGGTTAGAAATGAATATTTTGATTCAGAAATTGAACGAAGCATGTCTCGAATGCAAACAGTTATTGAATTGGGTAGAATCATTCGTGAGAAAAAGAATATAAGTCTAAAGGTTATTTATTAATGTTATTATTTTTGACTTTTCTCCCAAAGAAAAATTCTTGAGGAAAATTTATGCTGATTATTGTTATTATTATTTTCTTTTATCTGATTAATTAGACACCATTAAAAGAACTTGTTGTTGTACACTCAAATACTCAATATCATTCAGATGTTTTATCACTTGAAAGTTATATTGTTGAGGTATTCATTAAAAAAATTTTTTTTTTTAAAATTGGATAAAAAATAGTCATTAATAATAACATGATTCAATGTTTTGATTAAAAAATAAAATAATTAGGAATTGAATATAAAAAATCTTCTTGTAACATCCGAAGAAGATAAATATGGAATCAAATATAAGGTAGAAGCAGATTGGAAGGTTTTAGGTGCAAAACTTAGGAAAGATGTAGTGAAAGTCAAAAATGCATTGCCAAAAGTTACTTCAGAACAAGTAAAAGAATTTGCAAGAACCAAAGAGATTGTGGTAGATGGTATAAAATTGGTTGATGAAGATCTTCAAGTGATCAGATACTTTGAAGATTCTAATAGTCATTATGAAACAAATACTGACAAAGATGTACTTATTCTTCTTGATACTAAAGTATATCAAGATTTACAAGAGGAAGGATTGGCACGTGAAATTGTGAATCGTGTACAAAGGTTAAGAAAAAAGGTAATCAATTATCTTTTTATGATTATTCAAAAGAATTATTTTTACTAAAATTTTTAATATATATATAGGCTGGTTTACAACCCATTGATCCAGTGTTGATGTATTACAAATTCATAACTGATACTGATAATTTATTAGAAAATATTATCAAGAAAGAAACTGATTACATTAGAAAGATCTTAAAACGACCATTATTATCAATAACTGAAAAAGTAGATGATGCAAAAATTATTATTGAAGAAGAACAAGAGGTGGGTGATTTAATTACCAAGTACATACATACAAATATATGTTAATTAAATTTTTATAAATCTATATAGGTAAATAATTCCAAGTTTATACTATGTTTTGTTAAAGATTGGTGAATGAATAATTACAATGATGAGGTGAAAAAAAAATAAAAAAACATTTAATTTAATTTAATTAATTATAACAAGTATTTTTAAAAGTTGTGAGCTATGCATCAGTATGGTGATGATGATGAAATATTTATTTAGAATTCTTTTTTCAAAATCAATCATATATTCAATTAATATTTCTACACCTTGTAAAGGCATTGCATTGTAAATACTTGTTCTAATACCACCTACACTATGATGACCTTTCAATTGAACCATTCCCAATTGAACCGCACCATCCAGAAATTTTTTTTCCAATTCAGGTGGATCAATATGAAATGGTATATTCATTCTTGACCTAACTGATTTCTCAACAGGAGACTGATAAATTTTTGAATTTGTTATCATGTTG